ACTTATCACGTTCCATATTTAATCAAAAGAAAAAATAGCACTGCTCGCTTAAATGAATCTCTTCGCACTGAATTTTATTGACAAATGTCTAACCTCTAAAATGCAGCCAGTTTCAGATGTCAAAATAAATTACACCTACAACTAACGTCATCTAACTATGAGCCGTAGGAACTAAGTTTACCACCTAATATATAAATTCATATATAATTTTACATATTTACGCATAGATTTATATAAAATTATACATATTGTTATACATAATTGTGTATAAATATATATAATTTTATATGATTATATATAATTATACATAATTATGTATGGACAAATTTCATACATAATTAAGCATGATTTATTCTATCGATTGAATACGTCGTCGTTGATATGCATTGTCAATATTAAGATTATTTAATAGAAAGTTACTATATAGTACGCGTATCAAGAGCACGATGTAAACCAAGCCAATATACACTATACAAGTTATAAGATAGCATTTTATTCTACTAACTGCGATCTATGCAATTCCCTTATAGAAATATCATACTAAGAATCATTGATAATTACTTATTTTCAGTATTAAAAATACTGGATAATAAGTAATTATCAATGATTTTTAGTATGATATTTCTATAAGAGTTAGTGTATAGAACAGCAATGACAGACAAAATTAAAGTTATTTTGCACGCAGGAGACATTTGTGAACATTACGAGGCCATCAGATTACGATTTGAGAGGCTACATAAAAAAAATTAGTGAAAAATACGATTTGGTCGTACGTGTGCTGACGTGTATCTGCAAAGCGATCCGTTTAGAATTTCAGTGCAACTGATTGGCTTATGCGGCGCTTCGAAACGTTCACAGCGTGAAATGGAATGGGATTCCTCATCATTGGCCTGCTTTACATGGTGCACTTGATACGCGTACTAAATACTAATTTTCTATTACATAATCTTAATATCGACGATGTATATAAACAATGGTATATTAAGCTGATATAATACTTATCAAGAAGACATATTATATCGATTTTATGTGTTGTCGTTGATATGCATTGTCAATATAAAATTATTTAATACAAAGTTACTATTTAGTACTCGTATCAAGTGCACGATGTAAACCGATGTAAGACCAATGAGAACTTAAATCATAAAACTTCAGTTTTAAGACTGAAGCTATAAGGCCCGGTTGCATCAATGTTATTTTAGTTTTAAGTGACACAAATATATGTCTATCTTCATTTTTATAGAAAGAAAGATAAAGATAGATATATTAAGTTTCGCTTAAAGCTAAAATAATGTTGGTGCAACCAGGCCTAAGAAATTGACTAATCACAATCGATTATTTTCCTTATATTTTATTGTGATTCGTCAATTTCTTACAAGGTGAGGTCCACAGGCACACAGACTCAATTGCACATCAGCAAAAAGTGCTGTTTCATCTAGTGAATTAGTAATTCACTAGATAACGTAGAGCTTGGTGATATGCAATTGGGTCTGTGTGCATGTGGGACAGTCCCTTATTTTCACTCATAATTGCCAATTATATATATATATATATATATATATATATATATATATATACCTAGTAAGCAAATTGAGCACAGACTGCGCGCAGATTGGCAGCAAATTTAATAAAAAACCCACAGCAAAACCATAGCCATTTGTGCCTACATTAGGCTACGGTTTTGGCGACAGATCTTGCTGTCGGGCAATTGGTGCCAAATTTGTAGCGCAGCAAGATCTGCGCGGTTTCTACCGCCAATCTGCCGTCAAATCGCTACAAGCTCTGCGCGGTTTTTGCTGCAAATCTGCAGCAATTATCCGACAACCAGCTCTGCCGCATATCTAGCGGCAATTTGGCAGCAAGATTTGATATAACAAATCCTGCATCAAATTTGTTATTTATTTGCCATCAAAAGTTGATAGTAAGCTCTATTCGAAATCTGTTCGCGCAGGTTTGGCTATCTGGGTATATATATATATATATATATTTAAGACATTTTTAAGACATCTTTAAGATATCTTATAAATTTGTCTTAAAGATGTTTTAAAGACGTTCTATAATCCCATTTTGAACATTGCGCTGTTTGCGTATTGTCATATATTATATCATAATTAATAACATATAAAATATTTTAGATTTTCTGTTTCAAAATATCTCTTTTTTGTTTATTTTATTAGATTTATTATTCTTATATATTCTTATGTATTTTTCTTTAATTTTATATAAAAATTTCAGTACATGTTATTTCAAATAAATGTTTCATAAGAAAGAAATGAAAGGCAACAGTGCTAGAGCACATAGTTACTCTATGAGTACTATACGACATGGACTATAGATATTCTGTACTCGCAGTGTAGATGAGAACACAACCCAAGTGTATAATCAGGGGACATTTGACAGTTTTGACAGTTCCACAACAAACTATGCAGAAAGCTCGGACGTGTGAAAATGATATATGATGGACGGAGGAAATGATATATGAAGAATTCATCGTATGGAGCAAAGGAATTATATGTAATGTAATTTTTTTCCATAAAACATAAAGCCAGAGGCATCAATTCAGACGTGAGCTGCAATAAAAAATATTGTACATGAATATTGCAATGTGATTGGAATATATAAAAGCAGAGGCGTCAATTGTGACGAAAGCTGCGTAATAATAAAAAAAAAAAATATTGTAGATCCATATTGCAATGTAATTAATATGTTTAACGGATATGTACAACCGTCAGAATAAAACCGTTGAAGTATGTATTCTGATTTGAGGTAGTGAATCATAAATATTGTTAAATGTATATTGTAACATAATTAACTGCTTACAATAATAGCTGAAACCAGAGGCATCTATTATGATATGAGCTTAGAAATAATTATTATAGATCACATTCCAACGTAATTATTTGGAATAATATGTAAAAACAGAACTCCTATTTTTGAAATAGTTGCGTATACGTAAGTTTTACTGCGCGGGTTTAATCATATTTAATTATAATATTTTTTACTTATTTACTAGTTATTTTTGTTACTTGTATTTCAAATGCAGTAATGTTTCACATCAATAGTGCTTATAGAATAG